ATATTCGCCACATGTTGTAACCTCTGACTTTTTTCCTTCAAATCTTTTTTTTCTCATAAATACAAAACGAAAACAAGATAAATCAAAAACACATCTACGAACAAGGCAAAGCGCATTTTTTTAAAACGCCCCTACGAAATTTCTTCCATAAATAAGAAAGTTGGCACTGCACATCCTACACAAAACCAAATTTGGAAAATAGCGCTACATTTGCTTTTATTCCAAGTGGCTATGTATCAAATTTTATTTAAATGCCCAATGGTTATATTTCTTTCAAACGTCCCAATCGCCCTTGCCCCTTTGTACTTTCCTTTGACAATTCACTCTTAAGATAAGGAATTATAACCGATCACGACAAGGGATCGAGGAGGAAGACTATGGTTAGTATAAATGAATTTCTTTCGTTGAGATCTTTCATTAGAGTACCATGAAGGATGAAACTAGTTCCACTCCCTCCCCCCTTCCTTCCCCCTCCACCCCGTACTTTGATAAGAGGATAAAAAGAAGGGCAGTAGTTTGTAGAAAACTGTTCCTTTCATTGAGACATTTAATTAGAAGAGATATAAAATTAACTTTTAACCCCCTCTCCCCCTCAGGCCCCGTCGCTCACTGATCTCGAAAAAGAGTCGCACAGAAAAGTTATAGTTTGTACAAACGAGTTTATTTCGATAAGACCTTTCATTAGAATACCATGAAGGGCAGAACATGTGTTTCCCCCCCCCCCCCCTTTTCTAAAGTTTAACTTGGCGAGCAATTGGTTGTCGTATATGTAAAAGTTATGCACGTTTTACTTTCAAAAACAGCATCTCAGGAAATAATTCGGGGGGGGGGGGCTTTTAGACAGCGAAATTTGATGGCCGTCTGGCACACCTACAAGGTATAGGCTACCTACTGCAAAAAATTCCAGGACTCTAGGACCATTCCCCTAGTAGTAGTTCGAAACGGCAGAAGTGGATCCGGACTTACGGACGGACGGATAAAACGCAAACAATAGCACATTTTTTTTATTCTTAAAAAATGCGCTAAAAAAGTACAGGTGAGAATGCAAGCAGTCAGTATGCAAGGTAGTATCGATTATCACAAAAGTTAACCCACATACTAAACAGAACAAATGTTAATTAGGGTCCTCTCCCCCATGCTCGTATTGTAGACAGAAGCTGCCGTCCGCACGCAACTTAAGAGAAGAATAGAAACTGTATGAGGTACTTTCTCCACGGTATAAACTATTATTCGACTCGTACAGGGCAACATCACACTGATAAATATACTTGCACGTGAATACATAAATAAAAACTTAATAAAATAATATAAAAACATGATTCAGTAACGGTATGTGCAAAATGTAAATAAATAACAAATTGTGACACGCGAAATTTAAAATTGATGGTTAGTACAAAAAAGAATAAATGATTAACTGCCTGTAATTACAATGGAGAAACCTAGTACGCGTTCACATTACCCGAGCGCTGGGAATTTAACTCCTCTGCGAAGTTTTGTCGCGAAAATCCCTGTTCTTGGCATCTGCGCAGAATGGTCTAGGTCTAATCACGATTGCTGTACACGTTTTTTTTTTGTATTTTTCCCATACCGGTATTCGTTCAGATGCAAGGTGTTGCCTAACCGTAGGTGTATGTATAACCTTCAACTAGTGATGCCGCCGAGACGAGACTCAGTCTCGTCTCGTCTCGTCTCGTCTCGAATTTTCGAGACGAGACCGAGGTTCAGTCTCGTCTCGTCTCGTCTCGACGAGACTAAGCATGAGTCTCGAGTCTCGCCGAGACTCTCGTTTGGTCTCGAATTTGTTTGTATTTATTTGTACTGTTTTAGCGGAATAGTCTAAATCGAGAACAAAAAAAGATAAACTTTTGCGAATCGATTTCTACGAGTTCAAGGATCACTGCGGATTAGAAGTCGTGTTTCCGATTACGAGCTGTCAAAAAATTCCCTGAAAATCGTATGCGATTCTTCGTACATATCTTGTTTAATTGTGCCCACGGACACGGAGGCCATCTTGAGGCCTCCAGTTGTTGTGTTATGAGTATAGCAATTCACAAAAAAACAGTTCAATTAATCCGCTTCTGCCGCTATTTCCGGCTGGACAAAACTCGGTAGAAAAGAATTTTTCCTTAAAACCCATCGCCCTCAACCTACGGTTATCAATTTCAGGTGGTTTGGTTTTTGGTTTAATTTGCGGAAAAAAATTCACCGGAAGTGCCTATTTTTAATAACATTCCGGCCAGAAAAAGGCTGGCAGAAAACTCATTTTGTGTTATTCAAGTTGCAAGGAATCCAGTAACAAAGATTTCATCTTGTTAGCTTATCACTACTGGTTCCATGCGTCCGGCTCTCGTACCTACTATATTACTCCTATTATTTACTTGTCATGCCTTCGTAGTTCGTGGTCTTTTATATGCTATATATGCTCATTGCTCTACCTACATACACTATATTTGGATAGTGTCTCGAGACCAGGCGAGACCAAACGAGACTAGACGAGACGAGACGAGACGAGACGAGACTGAACCAGGACGAGACGAGACTCAGACTTGGTCTCGTCTCGAGGTAACGAGACGAGACGAGACTTTCGAAAGTCTCGTCTCGTCTCGTCTCGCGGCAACACTACCTTCAACTCGCTACTACATCCGGAGCACAGCCCACCAGCCGCGAATTAAAAAAATCACGTTTCGTTGTTCACCGACGAAAAATAAGGTTTCGTAGGGAAGCAAAACCAAAAACCGCTCTGTTACGAGATTTTGTTTCTTGTGTTTTTCAAAGGTCTATGCAGAAAATGCGTGTAAGAGAAAATTCTGGTACCTACCTATTTATCAATTTATTCTCTAAAATTATCTTGAGACGTGTACTGACGCACACATTTTTATCTAAATTTGTTAGTGTGGGATTATGTATGTATACACCATGACCCCACAATCTACCGTGAACTTATTACTTAAACTTCCTTTACATTCGGCGTCTAACAGCCAAATGAAGAAGACGGTGAAACTAAAGATTGCGATTATAGGCGGAGGACTTGTACGTCGTTTATCTTTGAGTCAAAATTTGCATTTACGGTAACTGTTGTAGGTGGGTCCGATTTGCGCTTTGTACATGGCGAGACGTGGTTTTCATGTCACAGTCTTTGAGCATAGGCGTGGTGAGCACAGACAAGATATTAGCTTATAACCGATCTTCCGTTAAGATCCCCGCGATTGGGGGTTTGTAGGTGGAAGATCGTATAACTTGGCGGTTTCCCACCGCGCGTTAAGGGCTCTTCGCGAATTAGGCCTGGAGAAGGACGTGCTGAGCGCCAGTGTTGCCATGAACGGTCGATACTTGCATCAGTTGAACAGGAAATATAAAGCGCTCCTCTACGATCCGAAGGATGGCCAAGTTAGGTATCGACAACTCGTATATAATCCTACAATTGTGCTATTTTAGTGCCTTTATTCGATACCCCGCGGAGTTCTGAATAGGATATTGCTCGATGGTTAGAACATAAGGTGCGTCAACACCTTGATCTTATAAACTCTCTTTTTTAGTCTTAACTAAAACGAACAACATCGAAATTGTTTTTGAGCACAAGCTTCTTGCCGCAAAGAGACTGGCCAATTGACACTTTTACAGGAAGTTTTTTGTTGGTGCGCCAGGCTCAAATAAGATACCTGTAACAGAACGAAGAATAATACAACCGTTGAGGTTCAATTCGATTTAATAATAGGAGCAGATGGTGCCCATAGCACTTTAAGACGATGTATGCTCCAAAAGCCCATGTTCAACTACTATCAGTCTTACATAACCCACGGATATATATGGAGTTAAATGTATCTGCAGAACTTGGAGGTCACTTAACGCTAAATTACCTGCATATATGGCCGCGTAATGAGTTAATGTTGATAGCGTTACCAAATTGCGACCAATCGTGGACTATTAGCTTGTTTATGTCTTATGCTGAATTTGAGGAGTTGCGAGATGAGCAACAAGTTCGGGATTTCTTTTCAGAAATGTTCCCCGACATTGTCCCACTACTGGACATGGGGTCGTTAACGCGACGCTTCCTCAAAGATAAACCATCTGCCATCCACTACGTCAAATGTAGTCGATACCATTTTGAAGATGATTGGAGATGCCGCCCACGTAATGGTACCATTTTTCGGTCAAGGGTTGAACGCGGGCTTCGAAGATGTTACCATTCTAAATGAGATACTCAATTCATGCGAAGACGACATACCAAAAGCTCTAGAGACGTTCACCGAGAGAAGACGAAATGACTGCCACGCCATTTCCGACCTCTCGCTGTATAACTACGTCGAATTGCGAGACTTAACTACCCGTCCGTCTTTCCATCTGCGTAAATTCATTGACGACAGCCTTTTTCGTCTATTTCCATCATACTGGCTACCATTATACCAGTCGGTTTCATTTACGAATTTGAGCTATGAGAAATGCGCTCGCAATAGGCGACGACAGGATACGGTATGTAATAGGCTTAACTCAATTTGACTTTGGCTTTGAAGGTCGTTTTTTAGGTTATTTTAGCTACGGCTTTAACCATTTTAGTCGTCGCTGGGGAGCTATTCGCGCGTTTTGTAATGTTCCTATGCTAATTACCTATACTGGCAAGGCAATAAATAAGTACACAATAAGTAATTAAGTTTATTTTAATAGTAAGCATTTATTAGAAAGAAGAGAAAAAGCGCAAGGAGGATAATGAAACGGGCGCAAGGCGTCTTCAAGACGTTACACAAGATGGTGGAATTTTCCGGAACCAAGATGGCGTAGGATTCCGGTTTCGCTGGAACCGTCGGCGGCCGCCTTGATCGTCGCTGTCAACGGCGAACCACTGCACATGGTACTAGAACTGAAAAAAGAGTACACCAAAGTGGGATTAAAAATTACCTATGGAAAAACAAGCGACAGTAGAAGAAAATATAAAAGGTCTAAAAATCGTAGGAAACTTTAAGGAACAGACAAATTCAAATACCTACCTACCTACTTGGGATTTACCGTGCCAAGAGGCAACGACAGAAAAAGAAGTAAAAAAGCAGACTGGCACTAATTAGAACACGTATAAAGCAGTAGCTTAACTCAACTTAATTCAGCCTGCTATACCTAAATAAAAACACAAAAGCCGGATAATCAGTAGGTACAATGGTGCAGAGTACATATAATATATGGCATAGGTAATGTATGGAGCAGAAGTATATGTAACCAACAAGAAAAACAAGGGAAAGCAGCAACGGAAATAGAGTTTTGGAGAAGCCATGTTGCAGGCTAACCAGACTGGATAAAAAAAATACATAGAAGAAAAATGTTAATTTTAGCTCTCGGTTTTTTCACACAACCTCAAGCTAAAATCTAATAATTTTTTCTCTTGTATAATAAATAACTAAAAAATTATTCAAAGCAGCGAGTGTGTCAAAGAATATGACACGTATATATCTCCCATTTGTTATTGAGACGACTTTAAAAATATTATGCGTTAGACGACGATTTCTTAAATTATCCTTATAGTAGGGGAGCTAGCACGAAATCCACTGAACGAGAATGATCAAAATTTTAACCGATGGAGTTCCATTTTGCCCTATCAGAGTATGCTAAAATCGATCGTCTGCCGCCTCAGGTCATACGACTTAACGCGCTGCGGGTACTTCTTGTGGTACCAATTCTGAAAGGTTGTTTTTCGAGAAAATAAGTTATACACCAAATGAAAACGTTGATAATAGCTCTTAAAAAAATATTTAAAAAAATCGCGCGCATTTGATAACTCCGTAAAAAAACAATTCTTAGTCGGTTTTTCACGAACTTTCTACGGATATAACTAGGTTACCGTTGGAAGAATGAAGCTGGTTTTTTTTACAGACAGTATTATCCCACTAATAGTATTGACAACGTGCTACCACCAGAGGGCTCACTGTTAATCTGAATCCTGGTCAATATGAATAAAAAATATACATTCCTTAACATTTATTGCTATAAAAATATGACAAACTTATTCACTTGGTGGCTTTAGCCTTTGCGAATCTCTCTGAAATATCCTTCCAATTGGCAATGTCAAAAACTGCCTTGACATAATCTGGTCGTACATTTTTGTACTGCAAGTAATACGCGTGCTCCCAGACGTCAATACCGAATAATGGTACTAAACCCGTTGTGGCTTGTAACGGATCTTGATTGGCGCACGTTGCTATCTTCAAACGGTGCGTCTTTGTGCAATAACCGAGCCATCCCCATCCGGAGCCTTGAATCGCGACCGTAGCGGCGGATAAATCGTCTTTAAACTTGTCAAAGGAACCAAAGCTCTGGACCATGGCCTGGCAAAGTTCGTCGCTAGCTTTCGTTTGGTTAGGCGAGAGATTTTGCCAGAAGATTGAATGATTAATGTGACCGCCGCCGTTAAACTTCACGGCGGGTTGCAAAGATATCATTGCACTAAAAGTGAAGCATAAATTAAAACAGAAAACGTACAGTAAAATCAGTACGTAATATCGTGCTTCTCTGCTGCGCTCCTTAATTTCTCTTCGGCAAGATTTAAATTGGTTACATAGGTTTGGTGATGTTTCTGGTGATGCAACATCATGATGTCTCGGGATATAATAGGCTCCAAAGCTTCGTAGGAATAGGGCAGTTGGGGAAGTTCATGTTTGGTTCGGATCGGTTGAGTCCTACGGGCACATTTGTTAAGCAGCAATACATGACAACTACTTCGATATACTTGAGAACTGTTGATAGATGACGAAAACTTTTGCCGAACATTTTTCACTCGAATAATGGAAAATTGTCGCCTAGCCGGAAAATTCCCCACGATGACCTTTGTTTTTCCTTGTGAGTTGTGGCTCCGGTATCTACATCTACTGGTAACGATGGCAAATCGCACCTCAATTCAGTGTTTAGTGTACCTATTTTTGATGATATTTATATACCGAGCGGTCCATTTGCAGGAATTAACACGACAACTTCATTTATCATTCATCTATTTTTACACGGTTTGTTGAATTTGTTGAATGAATTGACATGAATGGGAGAGGTTCCACTCTGTATATTACGCGTTGTGACAATGCGATAGGATCTAGTTTCCCAAGAATGGGGAAAAAAATTAGACCAAAACGCGTTGTCGTACCCAAAACCCGACACCAGTACATGTACCTACTGTGCCAGTACCTACTCATGGGCTATTGTTTCGCGTTGTGGGGGTATGTATCTTGGTTTGCTTACTTGACGTTGTGGTAATAAGAATTAGCCATAGAGCCTTTAAATGAAACAGTAAATGGAAAATCCAACTTTTGTTCAAGAAATAACATTCAACCCTTATGTAAATAAAAATGTACTTTGAAATGTCCACACAGGAACCACACTTAAAAAAGTTGCAGTACCTCTCAGGAAAAACACTTGAATGTGTCAATTTCAACCATTACCCGACCGTCATACTTTGTCGAGAAGACGTCAAATGACGGCGACGGGTTACGTCAGAGTGGAAGGGAGAACTAATTACATATATTACTAACAGTAAAGAAAACGAAAATAATTCAAACAATTTTATTGATACTGTATAATAACAGAAATAATTGAATTAATTAATGTAGCGGTAACACCATCTTGGATTCAAGGTTTACAGCAGGTTCTGAAAACGATTGAGCAAGGATTGTCGGCCTTAATGTCGCTGAAACATAAAATAAATGTCAGTTAATAGTTCTTAAGTTAAGTTTGGGAATGAAATAAGAACATCTCTATTGCAAATATTGTTGAACTATAGAGGAGGCAGTTAGAATACAATTTCATTGCAGATTCAATATTCGTTAGCTACCGTTAATTATATACATACAAAGAAATTCAAAAAGAGCATACCATTGTTCAGATCCTGCAGGACACTCTTTAAGCCATAATTCACAGGTACAATTCTCTTTCGTCTTTTGTCCGCTGCAGTCAGCCATTGACAAGGCAACAAACGCCAATACCAAAAGAGTACAAATAATGAGACCTTTCATGCTGAACACCTTTCTGTCTGTCTACCGTAATTCATTGCTATATATACCTATACTGCAGGAAATTGGGTATAATCTTGTTACTTATCATGTCACATATTCGATTAGTTGCACTTAAGATAAGCTATTTTCGTCTAAAAACAATTCGAAAACATTTTTGGGTCCAACGGTTAATTCTTTCAAAAAATGTCTTTCTCCATAAGTCATCGCGAAGAAAGTTGAAGGTAGTGCTGTTGCGCAGATATAGTTACAAAAAACGTGTAGTGGAGAGAAATTTTGCAACACTTGGGATTGGCGCACGAGTGCACACTAATTTATTAGCTTTATGTTTTGTATTAGTTTTAATTATACAAAATACGTTTTTATTTGATTTAATATGAAAAATATTTATGACATATCATTCGATATATTTGTTATCTGATTACTTGATAATAATGAAATTTTAATACATTACAGATTCTCCCACACTTATTAAAAAATTGAAATTGAATATTTTTGAATTACTTCTTCTGTATATATTCTAACAAGTATCTAGGTGGTTGTCGATACCTCTCAGATCTCCGTAGTATAGGTTCTTCTGGTGCTGGTCTCCTTATATCTTCTAATACAGGTCGCTCTATTTGCTGTCGGGGTTGTATAATCATCATTTCGTCCATTCCCTCAGTCTACTGTTTGTCTGTAATACTCTCCTGTCGATCGTCTTGGAATGTCATTGTTTTCTTTGGAGGGACGCTTGTTCTGGCAAGCTGGTCTATATGCCTCTTTAAGCTGTAACCATTATCTAATTTAATTTGATAATGTAGTCGTCCAAATTTTTGTTCAATAGTTCCGAATTTCCATGTGGGTTTGTTGTCTGCATACCATCGTGCTTGTACCCTCTCTCCCACACTATAATTTCGAATATTATGATGAAATATTTTGTTACCAACACTTCCTTTTGGCGGTCGCATCGCATCAAGTTTTATACGGATATCTCTTCCTAAGTATAATTGCGCTGGTGTTTTTCCACATTGTAGAGGGGTTGCTCGATATCTAAAAAGTATTTCTCTAATTTTCACGTGCATCGATAATTTCTCTTCTGCCATAGCTGTAAGTTTACGTTTGAGGGTTTGTATGTTTCTTTCAGCCAGGTCATTTGTTGATGGATGTCCAGGTGCAGTAAATTTCTGGATGATACCGTTTCTTGTACAAAATTCATGAAACATTGTACTTTGAAATATTGAAGCATTGTCAGATACCAATACTTTTGGTAACCCATGCGTACAAAAAATTTCTTGCAATAAATGTATGGTATTTTCGGATGTAGGTGCTTGTTTTATTGGTTTAATTTCGGCCCATTTTGATTTTGCATCTACTACAACGAAGAAATGGAAACCCTGGAAAGGTCCTGCATAATCCATATGGATCCTATAGAAATTTTCTTGAGGTTCTTCCCAGTGATCCAGTGGTGCCTTTTCTGGATTCTTCCTTATGAGAGCACAACTTTTACATAATTTTACCAATTGTTCGATGTCCTTATCGATGTTTTTCCAATAGCAGTATTTTCTTGCAAGTTGTTTCATTTTTACTATACCTATATGGGTATGATGTAGTTCCCTTAGTACTTCTGAACGAAGATTTTCTGGTATTACGATTCGATTACCTTTGAATATTATTCCACTTTCATTTCCCGATCCATTGACTGGCACTGCTATGTGGCAAAACTGTCAGAGAAAAAAAAGGAACTAAGCTGCCTGCGGACTGGGAAGATCTTAAGATCTCTCACCGCAGGTATAAGGACCATATTCGAAGGTCTAAACGAGGATCATGGAGGACCTTCTGTGGTAACATGGAGGGTCTTCCTGAAGTTCAAAAACTTCGTAAATGTATCTAAATACACTTTCAATTTGACAACTGTGTATTCTTTTTCGATATTTATGAATTAGATCGAATAGAAGAGGGGACCAATTGCTTCATGGCTTTAGAAGCTTGTCACTAGATGTCGCTACTCTGATTTTAATCTTTTAGTTCACAGTACCCACCAGGGTCCGCCAGAATACCATACAAATTTGTACTGTTTCTATTCTGAGTAAGCCTTACTCTGTAAACTGAACTACTACTAACATTAAAGAAACAGTAAATAATTCAAACAATTTTATTGATATTGTATAATAACAGAAATAATTGAATTAATTAATGTAGAGGTAACACCATCTCGGTTTCAAGGTTTGCAACACGTTTTGAAAATGATTGAGCAAGGATTGTCGGACTTAACGTCGCTGAAACATAAAATAAATATCAATTAATAGTTCTTAAGTTAAGTTTGGGAATGAAATAAGAACATTTCTATTGCAATTAAAACTTACGTTGGCAATTATTATTACGTACCTAGGTATTCATAACAGTTATTGTGAAAAGATAAAAATAATACTACAATTTCTCAAATCAATAATTAAAGAGTCATTACTACTTTCTTAAAATACAATTTCATGTCAGATTCGATATTCGTTAGCTACCGTTAATTATAATACATACAAAGAAATTCAAAAAGAGCATACCATTGTTCAGATCCTGCAGGACACTCTTTAAGCCATAATTCACAGGTGCAATTCTCTTTCGTCTTTTGTCCGCTGCAGTCAGCCATTGACAGACCAACAAACGCCAATACCAAAAGAGTACAAATAATGAGACCTTTCATGTTGAACACCTTTCTGTCTATCCACGATAATTCATGGCTATATATACCTATACTGCAGGAAATTGGGTATAATCTTGTTACTTATCATGTCACATATTCGATTAGTTGCACTTATAAGATAAGCTATTTTCACTTATAATTGCACAAGAGGTTTGTATTTTACCGAGTAAATTTGGGTTGTTTAGGTAATGAAAATCTGTTGCCTAGCAATTAGACCAGAAAAACTGTCAACTAATAAAAATGCGACACCGCAGGTGGAGCATTTTTAGGTTGACAGTTTTTCGAGTCCAATTGCTAAAAGGAAACAGATTTGTATTGCCACAACCCAAATTTATTCGGTTTAAATACAAACCTCGAGTGTAATTCGGCAGGACAATTTAACGAACAAGAAATTCACCAAACTAATCAATTATTGACAGACGTCAAACTATTCATATGGGTAAGGATAATGCGATTATTGGTTCGAAAATGAATAAGTGAAAAAACCACTAGTGCATTTGTCGCTGGAAAAGTTGCAGGTAACTTTTTCCGCTGTCAAAGTGACAATTTCACTGCGGCTTATGCGATTTTTTATACATGAGTTGAATTGTCACTTATAATTACACAAGAGGTTTGTATTTTACCGAGTAAATTTGGGTTGTTAAGGTAATGAAAATCTGTTACCTAGCAATTAGACGAGAAAAACTGTCAACTAATAAAAATGCGACACCGAAGGTGGAGCATTTTTAGGTTGACAGTTTTTCGAGTTCAATTGCTAAAAGGAAACAGATTTGAATTGCAACAACCCAAATTTACTCGGTTTCAATACAAACCTCGAGTGTAATTCGGCAGGACAATTTAACGAACAAGAAATTCATCAAACTAATCAATTATTGACAGACGTCAAACTAGTCATATGGGAAAGGATAATGCGATAATTGGTTCGAAAATGAATAAGTGAAAAAACCACCAGTGCATTTGTCGCTGGAAAAGTTGCAGGTAACTTTTGCCGCTGTCAAAGTGACAATTACACTGCGGCTTATGTGATTTTTTATACATGAGTTGAATTGTCGTCTAAAAACAATTCGAAAACATTTTTGGGACCAACGGTTAATTCTTTCAAAAAATATCTTGCTCCATAAGTCATCGCGAAGAAAGTTGAAGGCAATGCTATTGCGCAGATAGTCACAAAAAACGTGTAGTGGAGGGAAATGTTGCAACACTTGGAATTGGCGCACGAGTGCACAGTTATTTATTAGCTTTAGAAGCAAGTTCGATCGGATTACGAAACAGATAATACACTTGCCACCTTATGATCCTTAGACATGTAAAATAATCCATAGTGTTCTCTATCCAAAACCTAGCTAAAAGTTTTAAAGCAAAATTCAGCCAAAACCGATAAATGCGTACTAATTTCGCTGAGAAAACTTCCCAATATATAGCCTTGATGCAAGTGCAAAAATCCTCGTCTTGGACTCGGATTTTTATTGCCACTAGCACTCACGCTTCTTGTTGAAATATTACTTAGTAACGTGTTTTTTCAAAAAATTAAATGCCCTTATGATATTGCGTACGAATAATATGTGAATTCATTTTACGTAATAGTTATTTGTTTCATAAGTACGAAAAAAGTAATTTTGAAACCGTTATTAGTTTTACTTTCATTCAAAGTGCTTACATATGATATTTCATTTAAATGCTTTCAAAAATAAGAAAATTGGCATTGCGCATGTCCAAAAGAATATTTTGGAGACGTCGTTAATGTTACTTATATTTGTAGTGTTTACATATAAAGTTTTTTTTTATTGAAATGTCTTCATAAATAAACAAGTAGGTACAAATTGTGCACAGCCCCTGTGCAGGCAAAGTGCATTTTTTTAAACACCCCTACGAAATTTCTTCCATAAATAAGAAAGTTGGCACTGCACATCCCACACAAAACCAAATTTGGAAAATGGTGTTAAATTTGCCTTTATTCCAAGTGGCTATGTATCAAATTTTATTTAAATGCCCAATGGTTATATTTCTTCCAAGCGTCCCAATCGCCCTTTGTAGGTACTTTCCTTTGACAATTCAGTCTTAAGATATAAGGAATTATAACCGATCGGGGATCGAGGAGGAAGACTATGGTTAGTATAAATTATTTTTTTCCTCGGGACCTTTCATTAGAGTACCATGAAGGATAAAACTAAAATCTCACTGATCTCGAAAAAGAATCGCACGGGAAAGTTATAGTTTGTAGAAACCAATTTATTTCGATGAGATCCTTTCATTAGAATACCTACCATGAAGGGTGGAACATGTGTTTACAACCCCCCTCCCCTATTTTCTAAAGTTTAACTTGGCACCACTAAAGGCATGCGTATGCAAAATCTGAGACGAATTGGTTGTCGTATATAAAAGTTATGCACGTTTAACTTTCAAAAACAGCATCTCAGGAAATAATTCGTGGGAGGGCCCCCCTTTTAGACAGCGAAATTTGATGGCCGTCTGGCACACCTTCAAGTTATAGGTTACCTACTGCAAAAAATTCCAGGACTCTAGAAGTAGTTCAAAACGTCAGAAGTGGGTCCGGA